CCCCAAAACCCCAAAACCCCAAAACCCCAAAACCCCAAAATTAGAGACTAAATTGTAAATAATTACTATAAAAATGGATGAGACAAAGGACGATAATTTTTCAGACAAATCCCAGACTGATATTGATTCATGCAAATCTATATTACTTAGCAAGCACTTGCCAGAGTAACCTCACCGTCTTTTATATCTACTCTCCTGACTTTAAGACGATTTATTTTAGGGAGCAGCAAAAGAATTTAGTAAGAGAGCACATACCGATATTGAACTACATGGTTCACAAGTTGATACATCAGATTTCAAACGAATCTGGGTTGGATTTAAAGAACTTCAATATCTCTATTCTTTACATCAAAGATGACACTATTGACTTCCAGATCGGTAAGTCCTGAAAATCCATGATTTTAATCCTTTTCTAGATATTTATGATGTCGATAACTATAAACTGAACAGAGAGGTAACCAAGATAATTCATTTTAGGTCGTAAAAGCTCTCTCTGGTATCCAAGTCGTGAGTACACCTCTTGACATTGAAGGTAATCGTGATATTAGGCATCTTTAGAGAGACTTAAGGAGAAGGTTTTGCTCAGAAATGAAATGTTAGAGCAGTTTTATTCAGCTATTTTGGATTCAAATAAAGAATTCAAGAAAAGTTTAATACCTGTTATCTTATCTCAGGGAAGGTACTTTTCTAGTTTAGCTGCTCTAATTTTTCTATAGTGACAGGATAATTACTTGTGAGGTTGATAACTTAAATAACTACGCTGAGTTGATTAGAAATATGTCCATATGGTAAATCTACTTTATTATTTCAAAATCCTTGATCTCAAATTGTTCTCTAAATCTGAGAATTTTTCTTATGCCAGTCAAATAAGCTATTTATTTCTTACCCGACTTATAGATATTAGGCATCGAAGAGGCAGCTATTGAATATGATGAATGGAAAGAAGACGAGTACGGCACGATTGAAGGTGTCAGAAAAGTCTACCCCACCGCAAGAAACTACTCCCATATCTTCATAAAGAAATTCTACAAAAGCTTCCTATCCGAAATTCTACCTGAAGTAGAACTTGAGACAAAAGATGAGACAAAGCTTTCCTTCATCATTCAGGGAAACATCGAAAAGACTGAGGAATTCCTATCTGCTATATCCCGACTTGATGACTGCATCTCAACCAAGTCAATCAAGATAGATCAGAGCGATAAGATCCTGATGTTCCATCAGGATCTTCGGTCGAAGATCATTATTGAAGCACTTGAAGCATGCTTTGAGAAGGACATGAGGGAGATTACACAGGTTTGTGAACCGGTTAATTCGAAGATGGTTGAGAATAGAAGAGCGTGGAATGTGGCTGACTGATTTGTGGTGGAGATCTGTGAAGGGTTTAATGTAGAGAATGATACGGTGAGAGGGTAAGTGGAGTTGGGGGTTATGTATAGTGGGGGGAAGGATCAGTCAGGGTCTATGGGGGGAGGCAGTTTTTATCAGATTTCGGAGTACTTTTTGAAGCCGAAGAAGGAGCAGATGTGTGTGAGGTGGATTATGAGAGGGGAACAGGATGATGGGAATACTGATGAAGGTGAGAGCTGGGGGTATGGAAGAGGTCTGGAAATTTTGAATTTTTTTTGGAACTATAGATCTTTAAGCGTTGAAATTGAGATGTCTAATCATTTAAACTATAGAGTTAGCTAAATAAATTTACAAATTTTATGAAGAGAGGCAAGAAACGTTGGAAGTTATTCCAAAAGGTAGGCAAAAATTTCAATCTCCTCACTAAATTTCCAGATATTTCTCTAAAGTTGCTAAAATTTAGCAATTGCTAATTTTTTTTACAGAAATTGAAAGAACTAAAAGAGAAAAAGAGAGAACAAGTGATAAAAATCAAAGCTCCTGAGGGAGACTCAGCTACTGATTTCATGAACGATTTGGATGAATTACAATCAAAATACCAGACTTTCCTGATCTTCATCCAGGTAGATCACACTCACATTGGTAAATTTTACCTACTAATTCTTTAGAAATTTATTACTGGGACAACGAAGCTTTAGCAAAGCAAGTTAAGGAAGAGATCATTGCAAAATATTGTGCTGATCAGAATGATCAAGAGGAAGAAGAACAGAAGGAGCATGTTGAGAAACCTGAAAAATCCCCAAGGAAGAAAAATAAAGCACATGATGTGTCCAAACAGAAGGAAATACCTGATAATGAGCAAGCTGAGGAAGATCATGAGACAGATAATGAGACTAGTAATGTCTCTGAGAGTGAGATGAGTGAGATTACACGCATGCCAAGTCATGTCAGCGAAGCTCCTACTCCTAGGAATCATTCAAAGAAGAATCCCAAGAAATCTCCTACAAAGCTGTTTAGAAATGCTCCAAAGAGGGGTGTTAGTGATTCAGATACAGATTAAAAGACAATTGATGCTTAAAATTCAACTAAAAATTATTGAACTGGGGTTTTGGGGTTTTGGGGTTTTGGGGTTTTGGGG